TCCTGCACCGCAGTCTGCCTACCACCTAATCTTGTGTGACAGTAACCTGCCCTTGATAAGGGGAAAACATACCCACGTTATTCTTACCGCTGACGTAAGGTGACAACAGTGTTTACCATATTAAATAACCACTCGTAGTTGAACCCCTCATTAATGGGCTTCAATGTTCGTTGATCCGTTTTAACTACTGTCTCAAGGTTTAGCATACTTTCATGAAGAAGGAAATGGTTCTGTCATCTACTTAGAAAGCTGTCAGAGCAAACTGCATGTAAGACTTTTTACAGCAGAATATCTGAGAGGAAGACAAGGGAAACATCAAGAAACTGGTGGATAAATGGTGTCACTGAAACCTGTAGAAAGAAAAACAAATCCCTCAACGAAGCCGTCTGAGAAGCGAAAGACAGATACAGAAAACCACGACATTGGACTCATATCAGTGAGACGACAAAACCACGACATTGTGCTGCAATCTGGTATCAGTGAGACGACAAAACCACAACATTGGGCTACAACCTGGTATCAGTGAGACGACAAAACCACGACATTGTGCTACAACCTGGTTTCAGTGAGACGACAAAACCACGACGTTAAGCTACAATCTGGTATCAGTGAGACGACGAAAGAAGAAAAGGATACACACACACAGAACAAAGCGGAAGGTCTCAGATAGCCCTTCAGTCTCCACAGACGTTATAATTAAGACACCCGTAACGGCTGCTCCAGTGGAATGGTTTGGTCATTTAACGTCTGCCAACACACAGTGAACATCGGTTTTCAACCTTCCTAATTCTGCGACCCTTTATACAAATCCCTATGTTGTGGCGACCCTTTATACTGTTCCCCATGTTGTGGCGACCTTTTATACAGTTCCTTATGGTGTGGTGACCCTTTATACAGTTTCCCATGTTGTGGCGACCCTTTATACAGTTCCCCATGTTGCGGCGACACTTTATACAGTTCCCCATGTTGTGGCGACACTTTATACTGTTCCCCATGTTGTGGCGACACTTAAATACAGTTCCCCATGTTGTGATGACACTTTATACAGTTCCCCGTGTTGTGGCGACACTTTATGCAGTTCCCCATGTTGTGGCGACACTTAAATACAGTTCCCCATGTTGTGGCGACACTTTATACAGTTCCCCATGTTGTGGCGACACTTTTTACAGTGCCCCATGTTGTGGCGACACTTTATACAGTTCCCCATGTTGTGGCGACACTTTCCTACAGTTCCTTATGTTGTGGCGACACTTTCATACAGTTCCTTATGTTGTTGCGACCCTTTAATACTGTTCCCCATGTTGTGGCGACACTTTCATACAGTTCCTCATGTTGTGGCGACACCTTCATACAGTTCCTTATGTTGTGGTGACCCTTTAATACAGTTCCTCATGTTGTAGTGACCCTTTAATACAGTTTCTCATGTTGTTGCGACACTTTCATACAGTTCCTCATGTTGTGGCGACAATTTCATACAGTTCCTCATGTTTTGTCGACCCTTTAATACAGTTCCTTATGTTGTGGTGACCCTTTCATACAGTTCCTCATGTTTTGTCTACCCTTTAATACAGTTCCTCATGTTGTGGTGACCCTTTAATACAGTTCCTCATGTTGTGGCGACCCTTTAATACAGTTCCTCATGTTGTGGCGACAATTTCATACAGTTTCTCATGTTTAGTCGACCCTTTAATACAGTTCCTTATGTTGTAGTTACCCTTTAATACAGTTCCTCATGTTTTGTCTACCCTTTAATACAGTTCCTCATGTTTTGTCTACCCTTTAATACAGTTCCTCATGTTGTGGCGACACTTTCATACAGTTCCTCATGTTTTGTCGACCCTTTAATGCAGTTTCTTATGTTGTGGCGACCCTTTAATACAGTTCTCCATGTTGTGGCGACACTTTTATACTGTTCCTCATGTTTTTTCGACCCTTTAATGCAGTTCCTCATGTTGTGATGACCCTTTAATACAGTTCCTCATGTTGTGGCGATCCTTCAATACAGTTCCTCATGTTTTTTCGACCCTTTAATACAGTTCCTTGTGTTGTGGTGACCCTTTAATACAGTTCCTCATGTTGTGGCGACCCTTTAATACAGTTCCTCATGTTGTGGCGACCCTTTTATAGAATTCCTCCTGTTGTGGCGACACTTTAATACAGTTCCTTTTGTTGCGGCAACTCTTTATTACAGTTTTCTTTATATTGTGGGGACCCCAGCCATGCAATTATTTGCCTTGCTACTTCATAACATCAGTAAATATTTGTTTTCCGATGGTCTTAGGCGACCCCTGTGAAAGGGTCTTTTTACCCATAAAAGGGTCGTGACCCACAGGGTGAGAACCACTGTCATAGAGGCTCAGGAAACCTATCCGCTCGCTCCCAGAAACAAATTAAAGGATGTGTAGGGTCTGGGGGCCTGCGGGTCTCCCCCCTCATATACTATAATAAAACCCCATGAACGAGCCACCGTGATGTAGAGGCTGGATGCTACAGAAAATCCTGGGTTCAGATCCCAATGGAGCCGGGAGTTTTTCACATATGACCACGGCTGTCAGTCGACCCAGCTTTAAATCGGTACCAGGTAAAGTCCTGGGAAGTAAAGACGACCGGTTTGATGTTTACCAAATCACTTACCGAATGCCGATTGGTCTATAAAATTAAGGTCTAGCCCTATATGTGCAGTATGCATAAAGCCGAAGAAAGGAGTTCTTTAGTTTGAAGCCGAGCAAAGACGAATTCCAAAGAGCTGAAAATCGAGATTGTGTTAAACATTGGGATAAGTCACATCCGTGATGAAAACACCGTTTTGTTTGTGTTAGCAGAGCGTTCTTCGTAAGCCAGTTTATCTTAACAGGGTTTTACTTTATTATATTTATGTAGCATCTAGCACATAGCAGCAATAATAATAATAATAATAATAAACCACTACTTTGTACTTGTAATGATTCTACCCAATATAATTTTTGTGCTCTCACATTTCCAACTAGGTCAAAGTAAAGGACCCCTTTCTACGCCTTTATGCCTATTGGGCATATAGGGCTACACCTGTATTTTATAGAACAATCAGCACTTGTTGGTTGATGTAATGACCCTGCTTTGCATGGTCCTCACGATTACATAGTGGCAAGCAGAAAGTCCGTGCAACAAGGGACAGCACGAGATACTTGTGCCTAGTCGAGGAAGCGAGGGAAAGCCCGAGCTAGACTCGTGGTCAGTCGATCATCAGAAGTCAGAGAAGACGGTTGTAGTATTTGAAGATGTCGTCTTTATGTTGCGCAAATGTTTAATGTTCGAATATGTCGCTAGTGGTAAAGTGTGAATAATGTTTGAACATGTGAAATAAATGGACCAGAATAAACGGACAGAATGTACCATGAAGCTGAGCGGCGTTTGTGTTGTCAACTCTAGACGTTAAAGTAGTGCAAGTTGTGTAGCAGTAACATCCAGAGAGAGATCGACCTTTGAGCCAAAGTATTTGAAACCAGGACCCACGGATGTGCAGGTGAGGTCTAGCCACTGCACCACGCCTGCTTCACTATCTAAAACACTGGTTAAGAAATTCTACACGAGATCCACCCACAAATCAGCTACCGTTACATTACCAACAAGAAAGTTATGCAAATGGATATCTTATCACGATAGCCTAGCCAAGCGTGATTGTTGAAGAGAAACAGCACTCAACCCGTTAAGTGTAATGCTTTTATTTCCACAGAAGTTCTTTTTATGAGATGAACAGGATTTGTACACAAACAGTAACTAAGTAAACGAGGGGTGAACTATACTGATGCTGATTTTCAGCATTCACCGTAACGCCTACGATGAATTTAAAATATGCAATAAAGATTTTAAAAAACAAAACATATTGCCTAAAGAACAAAACTTCTTCTTCTTCTTCTTTTTCTTTTTCTTCTTCTTTTTCTGCTTTTTCTTCTTCTTCTTCTTCTTGATTCCCCCTGAGATGATACCCCGGAACGCCTTTTTCGCTTTACAGTGGTGTTGGTACTTTTATTTAAGTTCATCTTATCTCGGAAAATCGAAGAATTCCCGGGGTGTTACGAAGTGTGAAATGATCACTGACTGATTGTAACTCTGACTCTAAATAATCACACCCAACCTCATAATTGTGGACGTTACTTGCGACTCTCTAATTCCTCGAGATGGTGTGAACTCAAATAAAAGTGCCATTGTGTTTTGTGTTTATTTACCTGGACATTTTTACTGTTTCTCTAACTTTGTGTTAGCGGCTAGTTCTTTGTCACATTGAAGCACCTGGCCTGCTTCTTTCATTTCATTGGAATATACTCATCGTGAATTGACCGTCTGTTTTCTCTCTCTCCTCTCTCTCTCTCTCTCTCTCTCTCTCTCTCTCTCTCTCTCTCTCTCTCTCTCTCTCTCTCTCTCTCTCTCGCTCTCATTCTCTTCCTCTGTCTTGCGTTTTCTCTTTTTCTCTCACCCCCTCCCCTCCCCTCCCCTCCCTTTCTCTCACATATTCTTTAATGCGCTCTTTGTCACACACAGCTACAAGTTTTGTTTTTTTTTCCTATCTGTTTACTGCCCCCTTCCCCTCCCGAGTCTGTCTTCTGCCCGTTTATTTTCCTCAACTCTCTCTCTCTCTCTCTCTCTCGCCTCTGTCTCTCCTTTCTCTTTCTTTCTCTCTGTCTCTCCCTCTCTTTATCTCTCCCCCCCCCCTTTCTCTCTCCCCCTCTCTTTCTTTAAATACAACTGATGTGCGAAAGATGGAAGGACCGAAAGTAAGACGGGCCTGCTTGTCCAAATTGTGACCCTTTGAAAATAAGGTTTGTTCGTTCGTTCTTCTCTCATCTCTCTCTTTCTCCATCTCTCTCATCTCTCTCTCTCATCTCTCTCTCTCTCTCTCTCATCTCTCTCTCTCTCTCCCTCTCTCCCTCTTTCTCTCTCGCCTACACAACTGTCAGTGGTCTATTTTCTGTCTGCATTTCTTCGACCTTTCGTGTCAGAGGGCAGATCTACATCAGTGGTTCTCAGTTAGATGACACCCGGGCACCAGTTTTATTCTCGAAACCCATGACGTTCCCTGTCACTGACCACATGACATTCCCTGTCACTGACCCCATGACATTCCCTGTCACTGACCCCATGACATTCCCTGTCACTGACCCCATGACATTTCCTGTCACTGACCCCATGACATTCCCTGTCACTGGCCCCATGACATCCCCTGTCACTGACCCCAAGACATTCCCTGTCACTGACCCCATGACATTCCCTGTCACTGGCCCCATGACATCCCCTGTCACTGACCCCAAGACATTCCCTGTCACTGACCCCATGACATTTCCTATCACTGGCCCCATGACATTCCCTGTCACTGGCCCCAAGACATTCCCTGTCACTGACCCCAAGACATTCCCTGTCACTGACCCCAAGACATCCCCTGTCACTGACCCCAAGACATTCCCTGTCACTGACCCCATGACATTCCCTGTCACTGGTCCCATGACATCCCCTGTCACTGACCCCAAGACATTCCCTGTCACTGACCCCATGACATTTCCTATCAGTGGCCCCATGACATTTCCTGTCACTGGCCCCATGACATTCCCTGTCACTGGCCCCAAGACATTCCCTGTCACTGATCCCAAGACATTCCCTGTCACTGACCCCAAGACATTCACTGTCACTGACCCCATGACATCCCCGGTCACTGACCCCATGACATTCCCTGTCACTGGCCCCAAAACATTCACTGTCACTGACCCCATGACATTCCCTGTCACTGACCCCAAGACATCCCCTGTCACTGACCACATGACATTCCCTGTCACTGACCTCATACATTTTAATAGTCCCAAAAAAAGTGAGAAGCAACAACGTAATTGATATACTGTTGAAATCACCATTGATCACTGGCATCATGAGAGCTCATAGACTGAAATGACCGGGGCATATTGAGAGGATGTCACATGACAAAGATGTAAAAACGGTATACACAAGTGAGAGAAACGGTCGTAGACCACGAGGCAGACCTAGAAGACGATGGAAGGATAATATCTAGATAGACCTGCACACACTTGGTGTCACCAACTGGAAAGAGAGAGCAACCAGAGAGATGAATGGAGGTGGGTGACATCTGCAACAATGAACCCTCAAGGGCTCGGGACGCTGAAGAAGAAGCATTTTTTGTTTTTAAACTTGTAACTAAATTCATCAGGTCCTTGACAAAACGCTACTCTTTTTGCGGCACACCTCAAAGTCTCTCTGTCTCTCTTTCTTTCTCTCTATCCGATTCTCACATATCTAGAGGTCGGCCCCTGCACCCTCCATCACCATTCTCTGCAGACGACAATGATGTTTAACACAGTCCACCATGTTTTTTAACAAAGGCGACCATGATGTTTAACACAGTCCACCATGATGTTTAACACAGGCGATAATGATGTTTAACACAGTCCACCATGATGTTTAACACAGGCGAAACGCGTCAGCTTTAGAAACAGGATGCTGTTTGCCTTCTATTTGACAACTGAAAACAAAAGGATTGGCTGAGTGAGAGAGGAAGGGGGTGACTGATGACTGGTTTGCTGTTATTATTTATTACTGTTTTCCTCTAAATTATTTCACGGAACTCTTCAACTGAGAGCAACTGATCTAGAAAGTTAGATCAGTCTGTCTGACCAATTCTAAATCACGTTCATTCATTCATTTGTTCGTTCATCTCCATGCCTCTCTATTCCTTGAACTTTCCTGTCGTCACAACATACCTTCCTTCTCAGTAATAGTTCCTTCTCCGTTCCTAATTCAGCCATTCATTCCCTCTCCTTGACATGTTTTATTTTACTAAAAGCTTAATTCTCTTTCTTTTCACTGAAACTGGCAACCGCTTACCTGGCAAATCGCCTCATTGAAGTGGCCAGCGGGATCAAGTTATGTCGGCCAGAAATAAAACCTCCTTGTTGTGACCTGAAATAAGACCCCCTTGAAGTGACCACAAGTGTGGACACAAGATAATCTCTCAATCGGTAAATCTGAAACGGTGTCAAGTCAGTCAGGCATGGTCTCGTTTCACAAAGCTTGCTTTCACGTGGGGCCAGATTTGCTACAGATTGTTGCGATCCCATAAGGAAACATAGTTCGAAATACAAGATTTCTGTTTGTACAGAAAGTAACGTGATAAACGTTTGATTAGGCATGAACACCCGAATCCCGTCAATGGCTTTTTCGATATTTATAACATCTTTTACGGCCAATAAACGATTACAAAACAATAATTACTCTTTTAAGTGGACTGGTCATTTAATTGGACTGCCCAGACCACATGATTGCACGGGACTTATACAGCTAGCGGACCGGAAGTTACCCGAAATCATCGTGTACGTTCTTCTTTCTCTTCATCTTTCTGTTTAGCGGATATGAATTCCGGGGAGGAGAGGGAGGGGGGGGGGGGGTGTTAAAGGCGGAATCTGAGCACATAAGGACGTATTCGGCGAAGTGCTGTGATAAAAAACGCAACTTGAAATGTATGCGCCCCCCCCCCCCCCCCCCAGAAAGAACTTTTCTAAATCGAACCTTGATACGTCGACGTTTCTGAAACGCATCACTTACTTCTCAGCTGCTGTAACGCGACTTCCAGTTGAATGAAGTACAAGAACTAAAACCGCCAGTCAACGGACCGTGGATGTAAATTAGGTACTGAGACAATCTTTTCACGTTTCAAAATGACGCCTCTTATCAAGAACTTGGTGTGGCCAATGGCCAGCGACCTAAAGTCGTGCCTATAAGATACGAACTGGGCGGGCTGTTTCAGGTCTTGCTCCAGTCGTAGATATATTCTAGACGTATATTTAGCACCTGTGAAACAGGTCAGCGGTTTATTTCACTGGACTACTTTCAACGAAAGTTTGTATTTTTTTAAGCCGCGGTGTCGTTCAGACTTATATTTTTAGTTTATGATTATTACTTTTTTTTTTTTTTTTAGATTGTTCATTAGAGGATTGTCTTTATTGCTTATAAAGTCCATTTTTCACGCCTTAAGCGTATAGGGCATATAGGGCTAGACCAATCGGCACAAGAAAACTGATGTGGTGAGCATCACGCCGGCAGCCTTTACTTTCCGTGACTGCAATCAGTACCCACTCAAGGCTGGGTCGACCTGGGAGTCAAGGTCATTTATGAAAAGTCCGGCTCCGACAGGGAGCAAACCCACGACCTTCCGATCCGCACGGGAAAGTCTAGCCGCTACGCCATGGCGACTCCTCCTTTATTACTTCTACTCTTTTAAAAACCATACTGAGGGAAAGGTCAGGGACGGAGGGCAAGAGAGCAAGAGGCAGCGGGCGGACAACCACAAGAGGTGAACAAACATCTGTGAGAAATACAAGTATAGAAGTTATAAATTTCTCTCTTTGTTGAAACTATTTTCGAACATATATCATTGATGTAATCATATTCAGGATGTGGGCTAATGTACGAGCGACTGGAGGTATGAAACTTTAGCCCATAATTTCTAAAAGAGACGGCCGTTTATTCACAAACACGAAGGAATGTCGGCTGATGACGCGATAGTGGTTGGGTAGGTGTGAACGTAAGTACCTGGGTGCATTGATAACAGCAGACGAAAGGTGTATTGGTAATTACCCGTTCTGTCTTCTGTATATGCCAGTTTTTAATGGCGGGTGGGGGGGGGGGGGTGGAGAAGAGATTGACCCTAAGTATTTAAGGTCGCATGGTTAGTGCTATCACCACGGACTGTCCAGATAACTTGTGTGTGTGTATGTGCGTGTGTATGTGTGTGTGTATGTGTGTGTGGGTGGGAGGCCCTAAACGAGTGAGAAAAGGTCACAACCTTACCGATTATTCTTCTTATTTTTTTTTCTTCTTAGCTATCTTCGGTATTAAACTCCGATGGAAAATTCTGGTTGCTCGTCCACTTCTGGAATTCGGTCTTGATCCAGAACTTGAGTTTTGCGTGCACATATGTTTTACAGATCTGGCTTATTTGTATGCAGACTTTTGGGTTTTTTCCTCTTAGGCAGATGCACTCCGGCTTTGAAGGAAATATCCATAATTAGTAGGCTCCTACGACATGCTTGTTAGGGTGGATCTGTTCTCTTTTCTCAAAAATGTTTCCGTAACTAACACGGGTATACCGACGATTCAAACCTACGTCTTCGGCATGAGAATCCAATGTTCTTAACAATTCGACCATCCGCTCCTCCCTTCATCATCATGTGCCCTGCCAGCTGGCGTAGGCGCTCATGCATCTCAGATCCCTGGTTGCCTGAAACAGCTGTTTTGATGATACCCTTCATTGTCATTGCTTCAGCTCAACCAGCATCGTCTCTATTGGTCTGCCTCTACCCCTCTTCCCACTGATTGTTTTCAGTTGTCCCGATGCTTATCCAGTGCCCCTGGTCTCATTAGGTTGCCAGAGAACCGTGTTTGTCTCCTTCTTATTGTCGTATTGCCGCTCCTCTAAAGAAATTACAATGCAGCATAGCTAAGCAGAAGTAGCATTTCACACGTGTATACACGAATGTTTGGCATTTAGTGACATGACAAGTTCACTAACACTGAGCTATTGGAAAGTGCAAGTTCTACAGCTGTTTTCTCAGTGCTCAGTCTACGAAGGGTCGGGTGGCTGGGTGACACCTGGAGAATGGACTATGGCAGAGTGCCTTAGGAATCTTTTATGGTAAATTACAGATGGATTGAAGGTGTCGAAGCTGACCTTTGCTACGATATAAAAATGTGTGCAGGCGGGACATGAATGATATGAGTATTGAGGTGTATTTGTGGGAATAAAATTCCTTAAACTGTGTTGCGCGATGGCGGCAAATTAGGAAGGGAATCAGAATTGAGGAAGAAATGACCGTTGAAAGAATGGGAGCTGAGTGCCTCAGATTAAAGAGACTAAATACAAATTAAGGCAACTGTGATCTAGAAATCCCATGCTATAATGGTTTAGTATATTTATAGTATTTTCTAAACGTAGGCGAATATCGCTAGTCACACTCGCCATCGCCATGGGCTGTGAGTCCCATGCCTCCTCATAGCACGTCATAACAGGATGGTCTAGAAAGACGGAAAGGTGCCAGTAACAACAACAACACAAACACAAACATATACTTACTTCTACAGAACACACTAATGGCGGGAACTTTACACAGCTACCTAATAGAAGAGTCATGAGAACTCCACAGGCAGACTAGACAAATAAAAGGTGTCATGTGTGTGTGTGTGTGCGTGTTTGTAGGCGACCGTGAGCTTTAGGGGAATATGGAGCTGTGGGCGACGTGTGTGTGTGTGTAGGCAACCGTGAGCTCTAGAGGAATATGGAGTTGTGGGAGACATGTGTGTGTAGGCAACCGTGAGCTCTAGAGGAATATGGAGTTGTGGGAGACATGTGTGTGTAGGCAACCGTGAGCTCTAGAGGAATATGGAGTTGTGGGAGACATGTGTGTGTAGGCAACCGTGAGCTCTAGAGGAATATGGAGTTGTGGGAGACATGTGTGTGTTGGCAACCGTGAGCTCTAGAGGAATATCGAGCTGTGGGCGACGTGTGTGTGTGTGTGTGTGTGTTGGCAACCGTGAGCTCTAGAGGAATATCGAGCTGTGGGCGACGTGTGTGTGTGTGTGTGTGTGTGTGTGTGTGTGTGTGTGTTGGCAACTGTGAGCTCTAGAAGAATAACGAGCTGTGGGCGACGTGTGTGTGTGTGTGTGTTGGCAACCGTGAGCTGTAGGGGAATATCGAGCTGTGGGCGACGTGTGTGTGTGTGTGTGTTGGCAACCGTGAGCTGTAGGGGAATATCGAGCTGTGGGCGACGTGTGTGAGTGTGTGTGTGTGTGTGTGTGTGTGTGTGTTGGCAACTGTGAGGTCTAGAGGAATATCGAGCTGTGGGCGACGTGTGTGTGTGTGTGTATGTGTTGGCAACTGTGAGCTCTAGAAGAATAACGAGCTGTGGGCGATGTGTGTGTGTGTGTGTTGGCAACCGTGAGCTGTAGGGGAATATGGCGCTGCCCTGCTGGTTTTGGGGACATATGAGAACATCTGCTGTGTCTGTAAAGTCCAGACTTTACAGTCTCTGCCTCCAGTCTCCATAAAACCTTGATACTCTGTTACGCTGTTGCTACTTTTCTCTCAGACTTCTTCTTTCTGTCGCTTGCTGTGCTTAGTCCTCAGCAAACAGCGACGGTCTGTCTTTCACTGTCTACCTTCATAGGAGTCGGTCTGTAGCTGATCTCTTCCAAGTCTTCATTATCATCACCATCATCATCATCATCTACTTCTACCGTTAGGAGGAATAATTTGCGATCCAGTTCACGTTGGCTGCCACTGGCTTTTGTCCTGCTGCAAAGGCAAGCGTAACGGGTCTTTAATGTTGTTGTTCCGTGTTTGATGCCGGTCCTCTTGATCTTTGTAGCTGATCATGCCGGTCCTCTTGATCTTTGTAGCTATTCATGCCGGTCCTCTTGATCTTTGTAGCTGATCATGCCGGTCCTCTTGATCTTTGTAGCTGATCATGTCGGTCCTCTTGATCTTTGTAGCTATTCATGCCGGTCCTCTTGATCTTTGTAGCTGATCATGTCGGTCCTCTTGATCTTTGTAGCTATTCATGCCGGTCCTCTTGATCTTTGTAGCTGATCATGTCGGTCCTCTTGATCTTTGTAGCTAATCATGTCGGTCCTCTTGATCTTTGTAGCTATTCATGCCGGTCCTCTTGATATTTGTAGCTGATCTTTTTTTAAATATGGTGCATTTGATGTTGCTGTAATGTCTGTGTCAATGCTGGTATCTTTCCGATCGTGTTTGCATCTGTCCTTATAGTGTAGTCCGGGCCTTCTTGCAGATCTTTTCCCGGTTATCAGTTCACCATACAGGAGATCCTTAAGAATGAGATCGCCTTCCATGCGAGAGAGATGTCCCAACCAAAGCAGGAGAATACGTTATCAAAGAAAACAGTATCAGAAAGAGGCAATCTTCGTCGAAGCTTTTCAATGGCGGCATGCGAACCGAATCTGAGTAAGAAGAAAAAAAATGGGAAGGAAAATGAATAAATATACACATTAATATTGGAGTGATACAGAGAAGAGTGGTATTGCCCGGCTCAAGAATGACACCCAACCCTTTCAGGACTCAGTAATTGACTCAACCCTTTGCATCAAGCTTTGAGGGTGATGGGAATTGCTGAGTCTTTCGGTTCGCAACTGCACTCTTCTTACTGAAAAACTGGCAATCGCCGATGAAGCTACGGATCTGTTGCTGTCCGCTCTGGGTAGACATCTAGAGGTTCTGTGGTGAGAAACTAAGCCATATTGGATAAAAAACGGTGTAATGAGGTCGAGTCTGCCTGCTTTAAACTGTTTAACTTTCACGTAATTAAGAACGCTCGAAAACGCCTTCGACTGTTTCAACAGTATAGTTTTTCTCAGGGAACAAAGAACAATCACTCCAGAATCAAAAAGGCAGACGACGATAAAGTATTGGGTTACCGGACTATGATGCCAGTGCTAATGGCGGGAATATGTGTAATTCTCAGTGATACGTCTATACCCGTCTGTGTGTGCTAAAGAGAAGCTTCACGTCAGGTTTATGTGATGGAAACAGGGGCGTTGGAGGTACCTTTCTCACTTCCAAAAAAACGAGGCGGGGGGGGGGGGAGGGGAGGGCACTCAGTCATTTGTAAAAGTGGTTAGACACACCCCACCCCCTTTTCCCACTCACCCAACCACGTATAGAGGTTCTCTTTCATTTGTTTATACATAATTTCAAATGTATTATTACATTTATCGTGGCCACGTTATGAGAATGAATCCTGATATTCCTGCCAAAACAGCTCTCACATGGATAGAGAAAGAAAAGGGGCGCCCAAAAACAACATGGAGACGAACGATGGAAAGTGACCTGAGTGCGGCATCTCTGATATGGAAAACTGCACTGAAGACTGCACAGGACAGGAAAGCATGGAAAGTCCTCTCTGAAGCCTTATGTGCCAGCAGGCATAAAGAGAACTGATGATGATGATGATGATTACATTTATTGTAATTCACCACTTAGTTATAGCAGCAGCAGTGGTAGTATTAATCGTAATAATAATATTTCGTTCTTTATTTTGTTCCCCATCTTTTTCGATAAAGCTTCGCAAAGAGGTGTTCGATGTAGTTTCCTGTCCTTTTCTGTCTAATCATGCAACAAGTGGGAGAATATCATGACAGGTTAGGGTAACAGCAGTCTGAGAGAAGTTGCAGCCACAACCAGTCAGAGGAAGAAATTTGGCGATCCGTTGCAACCAACTTTCACTGTGGAGACGGCACCGCCTCGACTGTTTGGGCGATTTAAGTCAGAAGAAGAATGATCCTACTAGGAGAGGGAGGGAGTCGCGGTGGCGTAGCGGCTAGACGCTCGCGTGCGGATCGGAAGGTCGTGGGCTCGCTCCAGGGCGGAGCCGGACTTTTTTCAAAAATGACCTTCAAAAATGACCCTGACTCCCAGGTCGACCCAGCCTTGAGTGGGTACCGGGTGCAGTCCCGGGAAGTAAAGGGGGTCGACATGATGCTGACAACATCACCTGTCTTGTGCCGATAGGTCTATAAAAATATTGTTCCAGCCCTATATGCCCTATACGCCTAAAGGCGTGGAAAAGTGACCTTACTTTTACTTTGCTAGTAAGGGGAGAGGAGTTCAGAAGATTTTGAAGGTGGTGGGGTTGGGGGGGGGGGGGCAAGTTCAGAAGATTTTGAAGGGGTGGGGTTGGGGGGGGGGGAGTTCAGAAGATTTTAAAGGGGTGGGGGGGGGGGGTCAGAAGATGGATAAACAGCAAAAAATGTACAAAAATTGATAAATAGTTTTTGGATATCTACTGAATTTCTCCGAATAAGGGCCTCGTCTTATATTAATGTTTGCGTTAAAAAGCGCTAGGCCTCTCTCTTGGAGGTGTAATTGCTTTTCGGATACGAAATTAAATTATTCTTTAACAGCAATTCTGAATTTTTCATGTTTCAAATGTTAAATATTAGTTTATTCGAGTTTTAACAATGCTGTATTGTTTGTGTCCAAGAGGTTTGTTTTTGTTGTTTTTGTTGTCGTTCTACATTTATTCAAATACAGTCATGTTAACTTCCGCTGGAACGTGGTTCGTGACCACTTCCGTTCATTATTAAGTCTACAGCAATGGCGTCTACCCTCTGACTGGCCATTTGGCACCAAGTCTCTGACTCCAGCTGACGATCCTGAGCGGGGATTTGTATGAGGACTCAAATTAAAAGCTTCCTGTAAAGCCGTATTAGGGGTGACATTTTCGGGTAGATCTTTTCTTTTTCTTGGGGAAACACGGTAGATAATTGTTCACCACCAGGAGTTAACTGAGAGACAAGGAACCAACAGTCTGCATACAAATAAGCCAGATCTCTAAAGCGGATATGCACTCACAACAAGTTCAGGAGTGGATGAACAGCCAAAACTTTCCGGTGGAGTTTATAACCGATATGGACTAGAATAAGAAGATTTTTAGAGGATAACACGATATCAAGCCAACAACTATTTGTGCGACGACACCGGATTATTGCATAAACAATGAAAGTCGGAGGAAATAGTTCTCCCACAAGATTCATGCGCCGGAACATATCAACATGGTTTATGTCTGGGTCGATTCAGCTGGAGGACGAAGCTAAAGATAGCGGGCTTTGTGTCTGAATTCCTAGACAGTCTGTGTGCCAATCTGTGCTTGCTGATGTAAAGTTCTTCCATGCACACCTGAAACGTTCTTTTTGTTCTTTCGCACTAAAACTGCAGAGCTTGCTTTGGCTCAGGTGTTCCGATCAGATTTCCTCGTCTGTCGTTTTCGGTTAAGTGGAGATCAAATCAGCCAGCTACCTGAATACGGTTGCCTGCTCATTGTTGCGAATCATTTTATTTGTCTTCTTCTTATCGTTCTCCGACTGTAAACTCTGGCAGAAAGTTCTGTTTGTTCGTCAACTTCTGGGTTTTGGTCTTGTTCAATAACTTTAATGTTGACTGCACATCCATTTTACAGATCTGGATTTTTTGTATATCGAGTGTTGTTGCTTTATCTCGGAGGTAGATGTACTTCGACTTTAAAGAAAACATTACTGTTTGGTCACTTTTTACGAACCCTTTCTGGGGGACAGTGGTTCTCCCCCCTCCCCCCAAATAGGGTCCCGGGACCTACACAGAGAAGCTTGCTTGTAATTCTGCAGTCATTGTTCACCATTAACTATTGCTTCGAAAGTTTCGGACCCGGTCGTCAGCAATCGGGAACTGAAATCAAGTGGTTTTACAGCTTGCTAGACTGACAGACCTGCATCACCATACTCGACCTTGTTTCCTCCATGTATTTGTATAGGTTTCACCATTACACTGATCAAAAGATGGATAACAGAATGCTGCTCCTGCTCTGTGCATGTAAACAGTGCGGTGGCCATCTTTACACTGGCATTATGACGTTATCGTATTCGTCAGCACCGTGATGTAACAATAGAGTCCTTAACAGCAGAACTGATAGGTTGCATTACTATTTTAACTTCTAGCACACTTTTAAGGGTTTCATTTTTAGCTCTTTGCATGTTCCAAAAATGTTGCTTTACATTAGCTTACTATTTACTTATGTCTGCTTTTTTTTTCACCTGCAGTATAACGGAAGCGCTGCACGCAGCAATGGCGAAGGATACTCGAGTCAGCTTTGATCCACCAGCTCAAGCGCCAAATAAACCCAACAACAAAGCTCGCCATGGGCGAGGCACAGAGAGACAAATATCCTACGAAGACGCCGAGAACTGTGTCAACGAAATGAGCGAGTCTTTCCCCGCTTTGAGCACCCGCGCACAGAGGCTGATGCGCCAAGTATCCGGGTCGTTTAACAATAGAACTATGAAAGTGGCTCTGATTCTCTCAGTAATTTTAAACCTCCTACTAGGAATTCCTTTCGGGATCTTCTTCGGCTTCTGGATGAGCCAGAAAAACGAGGCATCTTTGAGTCCGTCGTCTAGAGAAGCTTCCTTGTCGTCATCGTCTTCGCTGGACTCTTTAAAGCGATTGGTTGGGGAGAAGACATACTCATTGCGAGAACTGTGCTTTCCATGTTCAGACACTGACCTTGAACTCGACAACAGGGTCAAGGTTAACTCTAAAAATAGCATTTGTTGCACAGAAGATAAAATCCTACACGTGCAGGATTCGCCTTATGTAAGTATAAGACCTTAAACAACTTATTTTATTACCATCATCTCATTTTGTGTTGGTGTTTAAACGGTTAATATTTTACCCGCCCCCTTTACTTCCCATGGCTGGATGGACATTTTAGGTTGAGAAGACCTGGCAGAGCAGGTCAATGAAGGAAACACAAATAACCGGGCTCTGTCCTCTACCAGACAATCAGAGTATTCTAGACAGGAAAGACTTTTGTGGCCTACGTTCAGTCCCCGAAGGCTCCAATGGCTAGGACACATCCAGGTGTTAGGCAGGTCTAGACAAAGTGACTGACCTGTGCTCAGAAAAGGGTATATTATCAACCCAGAAAAGGTGGCTGTTTTTTTTTAATGTTTTTTGGACAATACTATTGTAAGAGCTAATGTCCCAAGGCTCACAATTAGTTATAGAAACATACAAAGAGAAATCAAACTGAGGTACCAAGTTATCACTTTCGAAACAAGCCTGTCCTTCAGGTAGCTGCGGCAAAATGTCAAAAAGGATTCAATGCACTCACGATTAGGGCTGCAATGGACTCCATGGGTAGGTGAACCCAAGGACTTTTGGTGAATTACGGATGGGTAGAAGTTGTCGAGGGCCGCCTCTACCGTGATATAAAGATTTGTACAGACGGGACATGAATGATACAGGAATAATGTGGATCCATGGGAACGGTATGGCATTGACCGTGTTGCCTAGAAAAAGGGTTGAGAGATGAGCGTCTGATCCAAACGATGGCAACAATGATCTAGAAATACCGTACTCTAATTGGGAAAGACTTTTCCTGTTGCCAGCGGCTCCTTTGGGTCACAGTCGCTATCACCGTGAGCTGCGATTTATGTGTCGTCTGCAAAGACGGAGAAGTTCAAATCAAGAACAAGCAAAGGCGGCGATGCCGGGCCCGATCCAACCAAGTAGCAGCAGGCCGCCTTGCGTTGGTTACGACAGTGGTGACGAGAGCCGAACGTGTAGTAAGCATTGGCAAACTGAACGTAAAATTGTTTAGTGGAACCATGAACAAGCGAGCACAGAAAATGCCGGGGTAGGCTGTGCAACGTCCTGTGGATAAAGAACGTGAAGCCAACCTTGTATTTTCAGATAATGAGCTGATGAAGGTTTTCTAACCGCAACTCTCACTTGTCGTTTTTGTTTGTTTGCGATAATAGGACATTGACTGGGTCTACTTGTCGTTTGTGTTTGATAACGTCCCAGCCTAAACTGAGAATCAAGGCACATCGTGATAAGTAAAGGTTTGGTTCTGCAGAGTCCGATGTTGTAAAGGATACACCAATTACTTTTCTATGCTTCACATGAGAAATCTAGCACGTCTCTGGGAGTCACCTATAGCTTCACATCGGAACATATTTGGAAATGCGATCTAATTGACCTCCGCCGCACATGGCTAAGCTTCATTCACAAGCATACAGGAATCCATGGCCTTACATAAGACCGCGCCTGATACGCACCCCGCACACATTCACAGACAGACAGTGACAGGTGTGTAGAACTTGTCTAGGTGTGTTATCAGCCATTGACAGTCAGGCTGGTCCGTCGGCTAAAGAAAACTCTGGGCTGTTTCCCATGGCGTTCATTGATAGCCTGGGCCCACATACTGTCAGCGGTATTTATACACTGTCCTTGGGATGTTTACTGACAAGACACTTTAACTATGTGAACTGACAAGACACTTTAACTATGTGAACTGGCAAGATCTGTCGTTGTAGATGTCAATGACACACACAAGCGCGCGCACACACACACACGTACGTACGCACACACGCACGCACCTACACACATACACACACACACGTACGCACGCACACTCAGACGCACACACACATACCTACAAACACACACACACGCACACATGGTGAATAAAAAGTAACACCTTTTTTAAAATACAGCAGAACCTCAGTTATTTGGCTCGCGAGTATCCGGACTCAGGTTAGCCAAAAACTTACAAGTATCAACTTGTTTGAAAATGGTCAACTTTGTCGTAAATATGAGACTCAGTTTTTGTTCATTTTCCTGACGTCGGGGCCCAAATACAACCCAATGATTCAACATGGTTTCTAGGACTTGCGCGTGGGGGGGGGGGGGGGTGGACACCACAGTAGTGACATGTCATTTCACTAGGTATTAATCACTCATTGTTTGATCTGAGTGATGTAGGACGTCATGTCACTGGGTGTTGATCACTCATTCTTTGGTCTGAGTGGTGTTGGACGTCATGTCACTGGGTGTTGATCACTCATTGTTTGGTCTGAGTGATGTAGGACGTCATGTCACTGGGTGTTGATCACTCATTCTTTGGTCTGAGTGGTGTTGGACGTCATGTCACTGGGTGTTGATCACTCATTGTTTGGTCTGAGTGATGTAGGACGTCATGTCACTGGGTGTTGATCACTCATTCTTTGGTCTGAGTGATGTAGGACGTCATGTCACTGGGTGTTGATCACTCATTGTTTGGTCTGAGTGATGTTGGACGTCATGTCACTGGGTGTTGATCACTCATTGTTTGGTCTGAGTGGTGTTGGACGTCATGTCACTGGGTGTTGATCACTCATTGTTTGGTCTGAGTGATGTTGGACGTCATGTCACTGGGTGTTGATCACTCATTGTTTGATCTGAGTGGCGTTGGACGTCATGTCACTGGGTGTTGATCACTCATTGTTTGGTCTGAGTGTTGTTGGACGTCATGTCACTAAGTGTTGATCACTCATTGTTTGGTCTGAGTGATGTAGGACGTCAGTCGTCTATGGTCCTATAACCGCTGATGCTGCATTTTGAATTCTTCCTTTTCTTTATAATTAATATTGCAACTGTTTTTTTTTCCCTTGTGTTTCTTTTTATTTTTCTCATCTTTGTTCACTGGCTGTAAGCTCCGGCGGAAAGTCCTTCGTCCATATGGACTTTGTGTAACGGCCTGAGTTTTGCGTGTGCATCCGTTTCACTGGCTTATTTGTGTGCAGTTTGGTTGTCGTTCCTTACCTCTCAGATATACTCGATTGGAGTTCCTAGTTAGTCTACTTTTTACGACATGCTTGTTAGGACGGCAGTGGGCCTCTTCTTGTTTTCCCTGCAATAGTGCCCAAGAACCCACACAGAGATTTTCCTGTTGTTTCAACTGAAACCTTTATTGTTAATTTCTGTAACAATTTTGTTTTATCCTTTCTTTTAAAAATTTGTTTCAAATTTTTAGATGACAATTATGTTGTCAGCATAACGCAAGTAATTAACAATGTGCCCAATGTCGGATATTTCTGGCATACAGTGTGTGCATCTGATTATTATTTTACTATACATACTGAATAGATTGGGTAATAGACAGACATGCGGATAGATAGTGAAAAATTTACAAATAGATAAATATTGCAAAATTTTTAAATAGATATCTATTGCAGAATTTACATTCAACCCCTATGGCATGCTTGTGGGAGGGGTAAGGTCAGCAGTTTTATTCCTCCCCCCCCCCCCCCATGGAGAGTGTACAATATCAGGATCCCTAGCTAGTTCTGAATCTATATGAGACCGCCCATCCGCCCTTGAGCATCTTCATACCAACCTTATCAAGTCACAAATTTAACATCTGCAAAGGGAGACGAGCAATTCGGTAACAAACAGTCAAAGGATACAGTCGGGGCTTATGAAAGACATCAATATCTTCGAGAACTATGCCCCCCCCCCCTGTTTTCCTAATTACGTACACTCAAGAATACCCACGGATTTTAACCTAACCGGGTGTGCAGGGGCATCAATGCAAGAAATCGCATGCTGAAGAACATGGGTGAGGAGAGGAGTGGGTCAGAGTACCAGAGGAAAAGTCTGACCTGTATTGGGTCATAAACACATTAGGCCGGCAGTGCAGAGTGCCCAGCTGGGGCTACTGGGGTGGAAGTCCAACAGTTGATTCACAATTCTCGTCCTGATGATCTGATTATCTACACAGATGTTTCTGTATTGAGACGAGAGAGAAGTGCCAGGGAGTTCGTAGCGAAAGCTAATAGAAAATCTTTAGTGCAGGACAGCCTGGCATATGATACCATAAACTCTAGCATGAGAATGGAGATGGAGGCGGTCACTGCAGCTTGCCGGTGGCTAGAGAACAAGATACATAAACATATCGTAATTGTAACAGTTTCTAAAAGCATGCTGAAAAAAAAATGAAGACCGGATTGCGTCGAGAAGAGGGGCAAACTCCTGGAACTCTGCGCTGGCTGCGAAAGATGAGGACGGAGTGCGTATGGGAACGCCCCGAGTGCTGTGATGTCAATTCCTAACTTAACTCAACTCAAAGCATATCGTAGGAGTCTACTAACTGGGAGTTTCGTACGAAGACAGAGTGCATCTGCTTTAAAGGCAAGAAACCAGTAGTCTGAATACAATAAGTTAAATCGGTAAAACAGATGTGCACGTAACACTTGGGTTCTGAAACAAAACTATAATCCAGAGGCGAACAAACAACAAAAACTTTCCGCCAGATTTTACAACCTTTGAACAAGAAGAAGAAGAAGAAGAAGAAGAAAAAGAAGAAGAAGAAGAAGAAGAAGAAGAAGAAGAAGAAGAAGAAGAAGAAGAAGAAGAAGAAGAAGAAGAAGAAGAAGAAGAATAAGAAGGGAGAACTCAGAAGACATAGGAGGAGGAGGAGGAGAAGAATGAGGGGGGTGACAAGAAGAAAAAGACCTATTACACATTTTCTGTATTTGATAAGGAAGCTATAAAAAAAAAGCTGCAGCTCCCAGATTGCGCCGCCTCTGCAGGTGTGTAGGTATAATAGCATATCAGATTGGCGTGTGAATAGACTAAGACTTGAACGATATTGTGTAACACAAAACCTTACTGCCGGCAAGCTGGCTCATAATCTATGACCCGATGAATATCTAGAACACGATTTATTTATTGAAGAATGTGTGTGTCTCAAAAACACATGGGACCATACTGGGATGTCGTCTCCTTCTTCTTGTTTTTCATCATCATCTTCTTCCTTTTCTTCTTTTTTTTTTCTTCGTCTTCTTCTGCTTCTTCTTCTCCTTCTTCTTTTTTGTTCATCGGCTGTAAGTTCCAGCTAAAAGTCCTGGTCGTTTGTTTATTTGGACTTTGGCTTTATGCCAGGGAGTGAGCTTGACCGACGCTCAACACTCGATGGGAGAGGCGAGACGAATATACAATTAGACAATTTCTAGTACCATCAGAAAAAGAACTCTTCGCTTGCTGTTGAAGGTGGGGGTGGAGCGTTTATGGAAGTGTCCTGAGTGCTGTGATGCCAATTCTCAATTCAACATTTAGTCAGTCAAGTTCTATACCCAGGTCTGTCTTTGTCTGCCTCTTCTCATCCTCCCCACTGCTGCGCCCTCTAGTGGTGTTTTAGGGATTTATAATATCGTCATGTCGGCTCTGTGGCTAAGTCGATGCGAACACTTCGCTTCGTAATGCCGGGATGCCGGGTTCGATCCCAGCTGCGGGCAATGCGCCTTGCGTTGGTTTCGACAGTGGTATCAAGAAAGCCGACCGTCCAGAAAGCAATGGCAAACTACTGGACGTAATTTGCCTAGAGAAACCACACAACAGCCAGGGGCTGTTAGGGTTGGTTCTGCAACGTCCTGTAAAGGATACGCAACAACCTTGGCAATATCGTCATAGGGCTACTGTCTATGTGTATGAGTGCACATCATGTGTAAGTAAAGGTCCCTTTTCCTCGCCTTTAGGCGTATTGGGAGTATAGGGCTGGACCTAGATTTGTATAGACCAGTAGGCACTTGATGGGGGATGCGGTCAGCATCACGCCGGCCGCCTTTACTTCCTAGGACTGTACAAGGTACCTACTTAATGCTGGGTCGAACTAGCAATCAAGGTCATTTTCGAAGAAAAAAAAAAGTCCGGCTCCATCAGAATGCGACCTCACGACCTTTCAATCAACACGGCGGCGTCTTACTCCCGTAAGTGTGATAGTGGTGAATATAATAATCTTAGAGAAGTCACGCACGAAACAAGTGCCAGGTTTTCTCCGTGAAGTTGAAATGACCCACAGCCTTCTGCAGCTTTTGATCTACACTTTTGGAGGGAAGAAGAACAGTCAGAGAAGGTTTTGGGCGTGAGTAGACGGACTGGCCGTTCCTGGACTGTGTCATGTGTTAAAGCGTTGTGCAGTGTATCTATTAATATCGACGTTCTCCATTCAGTTTGCTGCATGCTAATTTAGACAACTTATCGGAAGGCCAATTGTTTATAACGTAACATGACCGTTGACCAGTAACGATCGTGGAGGTGTATTGATGGAAGCACTATCACGTGCGACCCGCCAGTCGTTTATAACATAACACATTACTTGACTAGTAATGATCGTAGAGGTGTATTGAAGAAATAATAATGTAATATTGAACCATTAATGTCGGCACATCTGACAGCCGCCTTGCGCATTTTTACGTTGCATTTTCAAGCTTCAAGATTTTGTTAGGACTGACAAGTTTTGACTAGTTTTTTTTTTAACACAGGAACTGAGTTACGGAGAGACACAGGAACATAGTTACGAAGAGACACGGGAACTGAGTTACGGAGAGACACGGAAACTAAGTTACGGAGAGACACAGGAACAGAGTTATGGAGAGACACGGGAACTGAGTTACGGAGAGACACGGAAACTAAGTTACGGAGAGACACAGGAACAGAGTTACAGAGAGACACGGGAACTGAGTTACGGAGAGACACGGGAACTAAGTTACAGAGAGACACGGGAACAGAGTTACGGAGAGACACGGGAACAGAGATACGGAGAGACACAGAAACAGAGTTACCGAGAGACGCAGGAACTGAGTTGCGGAGAGACGCAGGAACTGAGTCGCGGAGAGACACGGGAACTGAGTTACGGAGAGACACATCGCCAGTGGATTTGTCACCTTCTGTTAACTGTATGCCCAGCGCGCTAGCTCAGTTGATTGAACCTGACTGCACGGTGGCCGGGTGACGAACTCCCTGTGGTCTGGGTTCACGCCCCGGCGGTAGGCAGAAAAGCCACATATCTTTCAGATTTATGTTACCACTCAAGGAATCAAGGTCAAAGGGTTGCTATGTCTATAGTACTGAGCCAAAGGGATTATAACTCATGGTTCTAACTACTACAAGCAATGATAATAAATGTGTTGAAGAAATCACGGAAATTGAACTATAAATAAAATCTAAAAAAAGTTTTGGGTTACACCCGGAAAACATGACTTTTTCCTTAGAGGAAAAATCTGCATTTAAAATATTGAAGAAAACTGCATTTGTGAAAAATAAGGACACACTTTTTTATTTCGGCCCCTACAGATTGTGAGGCCCTAGCTATTTAAAGGTAAGTCGGGTAAAAGCCTTTTTTACAGAACAATCGTCCCTCAGTGGGTGGTGTGATCAACATCACGCCGGCCGTCTTACCTTCCCATGACTTTCCCTGATACTCATTCAAGGCTGGGTCGATCTGGAAGTCAAGGTCGTGTTTGAAATAATACATCAGGTTGTTGACCGCTGCTGCTCTTGTAGCTTTTCTAACTGATACCTAAATCCAGCAACTTCCAGGGTATTTCTGTGAAATGGCCAAACCATTTTACTTACTTGCCAATCTTAGTATCACATTTCATATCTTAGCCTGACCACAGTTCCATAATAACTGATATTTTATTTCTGGTGTCCCCTAGTATTGCGTCTCCGGTGACGTGTTTCGAAGGAGATGCATGGGCGGCGACCTGAGTCTGCCTGTAGCCCTGCCTTGCAAGAGTGGATCAGAGAGCCGAGGGGCCGAATCCGCAGCCCATCTCATGTTGGACGTTGATGAAACCAAAGCCAGAATGAAAAACCCATCTCATAACGGTCAGTGTGGTAATATTATTGTCATTGTTCTGAAATATCTATTTCATCGTCATCGTCATCTTTATCATTAGCGATATTATGGTCATCGTCATCATCATCTTTATCATTAGCGATATTATCGTCATCGACATCATCATCTTTATCATTAGCGATATTATCGTCATCGTCATCATCATCTTTATCATTAGCGATATTATCGTCATCGTCATCGTCATCTTTATCATCGGCGATATTATCGTCATCGACATCATCATCTTTAATCATCGGCGATATTATGATCATCGACATCATCATCTTTGACGGCGATGTTATCGTCATCATCGATGTCAGCATGGTCTTCGACATCATCATCGATGTCATTATCATCGACGTCATCGTCGAATCATCATCTTCATCGTTATCGTCAATGTCATCGTGATCGTAGTAGTAGTACATTTTACCCCACCAGGACATAAACACAAGCGATAAACACCTGATGACACAAAGTGCCACCATGTGGATGAGGATCACCCTTGGAGAGGTCCCGGAAACCGCGTTCAGCCATAAGACCATATTTATGGCCGGGCTATATTGCGGCCCCTGGCAAGAGCCAGGGTGGAGCTTCAAAATAAAAAACAATTGCATCCTACAAGGGTTGGCCGGACTATATTAACCATATGGTGCTAGACTCTTACTTATTATGACTAGTCAACACTCGATGTGGTCACCGTAACTCCGGCCGCCTTCACCTTTCATGATGTTCCTTGGCACTTATACTAGCTGGAAATGATATCAGATCATAGGAAAAGTAGAAACCGGCAGCTTCACATTAACACAAACACAAACGACAGGTGAAGGTTGCAAATAGAAAGTCATCAGTAGCACATTACATCATACAATACCAGGAAATATGGATCGGAAATTGAAGAAAACTGAAGCATAATTAAACTGTAATAACGAAACAATACAGTGCAGATGAGTTAGAGGTGCGCTTGCCGTGGGGGTTACGGTACTTGCCGTGGGGGTTACGGTACCCCGTTGTTGGGAAAACAAGGATAGACCCACTGCCTCCCCATCAAGCATGAGTTAACTAACTTCATTCGAAGTCGGAGTGAGTCTGCCTGAGAGGCAAGGGATCAACGCCTGTATACAGATAAGCCAGATCTGTAAAACGGATGTGCATGTAACACAGATTCTGAAACAAGTCTGAAATCTGGAGGTAGGCGAATAACCAAGAGAAGAAGAAAAAGATGAAGAAGAAGAAGAAGAAGAAGAAGAAGAAGAAGAAGAAGAAGAAGAAGAAGAAGAAGAAGAAGAAGAAGAAGAAGAAGAAGAAGAAGAAGATAAAGAACAAGAACAAGAAGAAGAAGAAGAAGAAGAAGAAGAAGAAGAAGAAGAAGAAGAAGAAGAAAAAGAAGAAGAAAAAGAGGAAGAAGAAGAAGAAGCAAACAGTCCTGAGAGGACAGGACTCACGGCAGGGTCGTTTTGGGAGCGTCTTACCAGTTTAACAAATACATTCTTGCGAAGTGCCACTAGCAGAACGGTTAGAACGCAGGGCTTTTAAGTGATAGACCAGGGTTGGAATCCTCGTTAGGGCGATGGGTGTGGTTTTTTCTGTCGTAGGCGCACACACACACACAAATAACATTTTAACTTGCACAGTACATGGCGACAACACTAGCCGTACGGGTAGTTGCTATGCAGTGTTCCATATATTGTGATGTCAGTGTTAGGAGATTTGATTTTCAGCAGGTGTTGTAAAAGTAAACTGAAGGGCCCTTTCTTTTGCCTTCAGACATAAAGGATTAGAGCTATACTTTATAGACGACACTTTGTGAATGATGTCATCAACATCAGACTGGCCCTCTTTACCTCCCAGGACTTCACCTGGTACCCTGTCAAGGCTGGGTCGACTTGGAAGCCAAAGTTATTTTTGAATAATAATCCCGCCGTTCGGATTTGAACCCACGACGTTTGGTCCTGCAGGCGAGCGTCTAGCCGCTACACCACGGCGGCTACAATTACATGCTTTAGATCAAACTAGAGGCCTGCGGGCTAAATTTGGCCCGCTGATGCCTAGCAAGTGGCCCGCGGATCACCTCCTAATTGTATTGTATTGATTGATGCTCTTTCTAAGCTGGCAATCGGGCCTCTGTAGGACCTTGTTGTGGGGCGTAATTTACTTCATTTCTAGACTATCCCGGGTTGATTTCTTCCTTTAGTTTGATGGAACAGTTGTATTTGTGAATACTGAGTATTAATTTTGCTTTCTTACAGAAATCCCTCTGGTTTGGATCACAAGAGACCCGGAGCACAGAACATTCGTAGGTAAAGATGTTTCCTATTCCAGCGGTCACATAACCATTCATAAATCTGGAAAATACCATCTTTACAGTCACATGACTTTGAGCTCCAATGAGAACCCACTATCGGAAGACGAAGGTGAAAGAATCATAGTCCATTCACTTCTTTGGAATTCCAGGGGCGTTTCCAAAAGTTTACTATTCTCACAAGTGACTTTAAAACGAAATGAAGTCAAAAGCACAAACATTGAAGGTTCCTTTGAGTTGCTAGATGGCGACGTGATATCGGTGTACCTCAGTCATCCGTCGTTTTTAAAAAACATACGTCCCGCAAACGTTTTTGGTTTATTTATGTTGTTATAGATAGAGCTGAACATTTTGTTGTGTTGGTACGCTGTTGGCCATATAATCATCATTTCACGGATATTTCATACTGCATGAAAGACTAGAAGTGACACCGTGTATCTGTTGGCCTGTGCAAGCAACTGTTTTGGGTGAAAAGATAGAAGGAAGGAAAAATCAACTTTCAGCCATGTTCCAATTTTATATAAATTCGACTATTCTTTAGTGGATTTTCAATTTGGACCAGGCGAAACTCCTCGTTTGTATAATTTAGGCTTTGCTCTACAATGGAAAAGACTTGGTTATGTTATCACTGTCGACTTCTTTGCACATTGGGGATTCCCATGCGTGCACAGTCCTCCAGTGTAGCAGCTACTGCAAGGTACCTCTGCTGATTGTTCCCTTGAGAAGCTGGGTAGAGTATCTGCTGTCTTTACCTCAAAGACGGTATAGATTTTCTTCACCATGCTTAACTCCAAGGTCAACTAATAAATCCGGCCACCTTGGGATTTGAGCTCAAGACATTTGGACAGCAGGCGAGCTTCTAGCCGCGACATTACAGGGACCTGTAATGTGATCAGAAACAGTGGCTCGGTAGGTAAAGTCGTTATTAATTTTTGGCAAAAGTATCTGCCATTAACTGACATTACTGCCTATATTTACCACTTGGGGAGGGGTTGGTGTCTTTGAACCTAAATTGTTATACCGTAGGGCTAGTTCTGTCGCAATGAACTGTTCAAGTCAGGATTTAAAGTTTGTCAACGATAGAATACAATTCCCAACCTTACGGAGGATTTGAACCCGGTTGCCAGATTGAGAACCAAGCGTTCTAACCGTTCGGTCAGCCGCTCCTCTGCAAACATATTATCAAATGAAATGATATTTGCTATTAGAGGTGGCAACATGCGGAGAAGCACGGTAGTCCACGCCTATTCGCCAGGCACTTCGTGTTTACTATTTCTATTCGCCTGGCAGAACACGTTACTATCAAACGTGACAGTTGAGTAGAAAAAGCATAATTAGAAGGAGTGGCTCTTGAAGAAAAAGGCAGAAGTCGACCAGCAGGATATTACAAACATTCAGAGCATCTGTTCTTCTCCATTCTTTGTCCTTAAAAAGGTTTCACATAACTTTTTTGGTTACTGCTGGCAGAACTGTCTTCAACAGAGTGTCAAACGGAGATCGATTAAAGACACTGAAAAACACACTGAAGAAATCTGACTGCTTGTCTGAGCTTCCTTCCTAGACCAGGTACCAATCGCGGCTACGCGCCTAGTTTGTCTGTCTGTCTGTCTGCCTGTCTGTCTGTCTGCCTGTCTGTCTGTCTGATCTTCCTTCCTTGACCAGGTACCAATCGCGGCTACGCGCCTAGTTTGCCTGTCTGATCTTCCTTCTTAGACCAGGTAACAATCGCGGCTACGCGTCTAGTCTGTCTGTCTGTCTGTCTGTCTGCCTGTCTGTCTGTCTGATCTTCCTTCTTAGACCAGGTACCAATCGCGGCTACGCGTCTAGCTTGCCTGTCTGACTTCCTTCCTAGACGAGGTACCAATCGCGGCTACGCGTCTAGTCTGCCTGTCTGACTTCCTTCATAGACGAGGTACCAATCGCGGCTACGCGTCTAGTCTGCCTGTCTGACTTCCTTCCTAGACGAGGTACCAATCGAGGCTACTGGTCTAGTCTGCCTGTCTGATCTCCCTTTCTAGAGCAGCTGCCGACGAGGCTACGAGTCTAGTCAGCCCTGCCAAATAACTAAATTTTCAGGTTGAAGTTCCTCTTCTGAAGATAAAGCTAGTATCCTTCACTGATGTGCAACTCCACTTGAAGCGTTTTCCGATTATTCTGTTCGGAATATCAAGAGGAGCGGCTAATAAACAGTATCGGTTCTGGTAAACTGAAACACAATCGTCGAGAATGTTTGCAGGGATTTTAAACTGCTATTAAAAGGGACTAGTGAAAATTTTATATCATCACAGCACTTCACAAATCAACAGGCGTTTCGGACTCCTCCACAAAAGCTAGACAAGCGTAGAATGACTGATGACGCCTGTTCTGTGTTGATTAATCAAACGTGCTGTCTCTTTGGTGAAATTTAAATTTCTTGCAGCTCCAGGTTGCAGCCCTATGGCCTTGGACAGAGATTCATGTCTTTTGCTGAATTCGTCTTTGCGGTATGTCCTTAGCGTGGCATTATTAACATTGCCTCTGTCTAGTACCGGACCAGCCATACAACAACAGTACCTGCAGATAATCTGGACATTTATGGCCTCGAACACCCGCATACGATGAAGGTTAGGCTAGCCATTCTCCAAGTGTTAAGTGTTACAATGGGTGTTATTACGTTTTAAAAAAAAAGAATGTTAATTTTAAAAAAAAAAGTCTTTAGTGGAGACAAACGTTCAGAGAAGTTGACAGTTTTATACTTCACTTAGTACACTCTGATATCGGCGCCGTGTATAGCCTGGGTGATGTCCACATATTTTCAATCTCCAGCCACGTTTTCTGAATCGTGTCCAGAGTTACAGTTGCAACTGTTGCAACGAACCTCTCCTTAGTGCTGTATTTACATTAAGTGTGGGAGTGCAGTAGGAAGTTTTCGAACGGCGTCAAGACCGGGCCAGGCACGCAGAAGTCACGCCATTGCACTGATTATTTGCTGAACTGACAGGCATACATACTCATACTGGACCTTCATTTGTCAATGAATTTATAAGGTTTCACCCCTTCCCTGGTTTGAAAAACGGGTAACAGAACTTGGATGCATATTACAAGTGAGAAGCAATCTTTAATTTCTTTTTGTGACGTCACTGTGTTCCTCCACACAGTGATTTCAAGTCCGTAACACTCTTGACATCCTTAACAACAATACTGTGAGGTTGGAAGACAAAGGTATGGTTGTTTTCATTTCTAGCACTCTCTTGGGATTTTCCTTTGCAGCCCTGTCCTGTTCAGTCAGTTCGATATCATTGATAGAGGCAATTCTGTTGGCTTCTCTAATCAGCGTTCAGAGTTTTTCTTCGACGTCCTCGTTTTCCCAGTTCCTCTATTTCCGATTTCAGATGGTTCTCTGTTCTCCTTTTCTCAGAATGTGTCCAGTATCTGGCAGTATTTTCTGTTTTATAGCTGTCGATACTGATCGTTGCTTGCTAAAGACTTATATCAACATATTATGAAGCACGACAACTGAATATATTCCACTGAAATTAAAATTATCTTTCTCGAAACACGTTAATCTAATCCCCAGAAATTCACCATTGTCACGTGACTTACCAGCGTAGCTTCAAATTTATAATGAATTCTCTGTTTAAATAAGGAAGAAATGTTCATTTTTATTGTTAAAGCTTCGGCTAGTCTCATAAGGAAGAGTTGTTCATTTTATTTGTTGAAGCTTTGAATAGCCTCATAAGAAGGAGTTGTTCATTTTAATTGTTAAAGCTTCGGTTGGTCTCAGTTTTCGTCTGTTTTTTTTTTTTTTTTTTAAATCCCGTTTTGATCTTACCTGCCGGATCTACCCAGCCTTAAATATTTGCTAGGTAATTTCCTGGGAAGTAAAGTCGGTCGGTGTGATGTTAACCACATCACCACCCTAGGGTCTTTAAAAAAATAAGTTTTGCGTTATCTAACTAGTACAGGCAAAGATTGATCTAGCTTTCACTAGACGTGTGCGTGTTTGTGAAATGTGCACGCTTGAACTCTTCAGATGTGATATTCTTTGTGCCTAGCCAAACAGAATACAGTAAGCTCCTGCTGCTATTGTCTGAACTGGTAGAATTCACGGTTATTTATTGCGTATCATTTGAAACTCGTGTTTTCTTTGCTTTCATGTGATTGTTTTTTCTTTTTTTTTTTTTTTCTTTTTTTTTTCTTTTTTCTTTTTTTATATTTTTATGTTTAAACGCAATTATATGAAAATATTTTATGGGTGTAATCAACTACCTGATGTGAATATCAAAATATGATGTGTAAAACAAATGTTTGAAGTGTGCAGTTAATTGTGCAATGTTTAAGAGGAAATATATGTTATATAAAGAATTGTTGGATGCGCATAATGAAGAGTTAGATATATATAATAAATTTTTGGATACATACAATGAATTTGTTTATGTATATAATGAATTGTTGGATGCCTAAAAGAAATTGTTGGATGCCTAAAATGAATTGTTGGATGTGTATGATACATTGTTGAATGCCTAAAATAAATTGTTGGACGTGTATAATGAACTGCCAGATGCATACAATGAATTGTTGGATATGAATAATGACTTGTTGGGTGCGAATAACGAATTGTTGGATGCAAAATAACGAATTTTTGGATGTGAATAAGGAAGTGATGAATGCATTTATTGAATTATTTTGTGGTTGAAACTAATTATTCCTTGAGAATGGTAAAACTTATATGTCTGAATAAGAATACTGTGTGTTTGTAGCGAATTGTTCAGTGTGTAATAAACATTATTCAGTGTAGACATATCACTTATTATTAGTTTGTGTGCATACGGCTGTGAACGTGGACCGTAACCGCTGAACTCGACAAGAAGACTGGGCATTGGAAATGCGACCTTTGAAGAAATACTGTCTTGACATGTCAGACATGGACCACATTACAAATAACCAGATCCATGACATTGGCAACTATGAACCTCTTGTAACTACAATAAGAAGACATAACATGCATGTATTACACACGTGTAATACGATCTAGTATTGTAAAGATCATCCTAGAGGGAAAGGTTCAAGGTAGGCGAGCAAGAGGCAGACAGCGTTACAAGTGGGAGGATAACATCAAGAGATGGACGAACAGCAGTATGAGTGAGTGTACATCAAGGGCAAGAGACAGGGCTTGTTGGAGATCCATTGCAGCCAACCTTCATTATGGAGACGGCACCTGATTGATTGAATACGATCTAACGGCCTCTCAAAAACAATACTTCAGGGCACAGGAGAGGGGAAGAGGAAAAGAGGCAGACCATGGAAGACCTGGATACAGAAAGACCTGACTGACTGGACAGGCCTAAGGCACGCAA